GGCCTCCACAGGCTGCGTCCAGGGGGCGCTGTGCCGCAAGGGGGGAAGACCTGGGGGAGGGCTCTGTGTTGAGTGAGGGTGACGGTCCCAAGGAACTGGGGTTCCTGGGTGCCACTCTTTCTGGAGTAAAAACCCTAGCAAGTGTGGCCGGTTCCAGGCTTACAGTTTGCATGACAAAAAAAGCCGCAGGACCCGAGGGAATGGGAAGGAGCCATAAAGTGAGTTCTGTTGGGGTGGGGAACCCTTTTTCCGCCAAGGGCCGTTTGGATATTTAGAACATCATTCGCGGGCCATACAAAATTATCAACTTAAAATTTATCTATAGAAAAAGCTCCTAGATTATTGAATTTCCAGTCCTGCCTGGGGTTGCCTTGGCAGGGCCAGACCTACAGGGCCCCGGCTGGGGGTTCCCCACCCCAGGGGAAAAGTTTCTGGGCCCAGTCCTTATCAGAAGAAAGTGAGTGACTACCTCATGCCCAGAGGGCAGGAAGGCCCTGGATGGCTGGGCCAGAATGAAATTCTAATCAATTTTACTTCCCTCTTTTGCCTCCTCTGACTTGGTTTCCTTGCACCCTGTGTCTGGGGAGCCAGGTGTGGAGCTGTGGAAGAAGGCAGATGGATGCTACAGGGACACAAACCGGGCAACGGGAGCCAGAATTAAAAACTCTTACATGGTGTCGGTGGGCACGGTCCCGCTCTGGGTACAAGGACACAGAGGTGTGGGGTGATCTTCAGCCTAGTGGTGTGGTGGGGGAGGGGAGAAGGAAGGAGGACAGGGACAGGAGAGAGTTCCAGAACCTGAGAGCACAATCCTGAGAGTGATCTCACTGCGGGCCCAGGATTCTGGAACTTGGGCTGCCTGATAGACCCTACATGAAAGATGTAGTAGGGAAAAGGAGCGACAGCTGGCTAAAGGGGCCCCCCACAACCCTCCCCGACACCCTAGGAGAACAGCCTCTCTCGGCTGGTCCCAGGGTGCCATGGAGATGGAGAGCAAGGCGGCCTCCACACGTTTCCACCAACCTCACATGGAGAGGAAGATGAGTGCGATGACCTGTGAGATCTTCAACGAGCTTAGGCTAGAGGGCAAGCTCTGCGACGTGGTCATCAAGGTCAATGGCTTTGAGTTCAATGCCCACAAGAACATCCTCTGTAGCTGCAGTTCCTACTTTAGGTATAACAGGGTTGCTGAACTAAGCCTACGGGGGAATTGGGCGCATTTTAGACTTCTTGGTTCATTTCATGTTTCCCACCCCACCATCTTAAGTTTAGGGACACTGTCAAAGCTCTGGGCTCCTGTGGCCTGGCTTGTTTGTCATCTAAAGAGGCACAACTAGGGCCAGACCCTTTTCCATCTGGTTTTCAGTTGGATTTCAGCCAACTATTGGTGGGCCAGCTGCTTATTTCCTTTGATTCTCACTCAGACCAACCTTTGGGAAAGTTAGCATCCGTACTGGGTTTCCTACCTAAACCTAGATGATAATGCCGCTTTGGCCACTCCTGTGACCCTATCCCAGTGGAGATGAGCTTGAACAGGGTGATATATTAACAGAGATTGGGGGGATGAAGGGAAAGAACCATGGAAATATTTATCAGAAAAAAAGAATTTGGGTCCAAACCATTGTAACCCAGGAAATGGAAGGGCTATTTTGTTCTTGGGCTGAAAATGTTTGAGTAATCAATTCCAATCAAGATGTAATCAATGTAGCCTATCTGTTGCTAAAAATTCTCATCTTGATCTACAGCAGCATCTATAAAAAGACCAGATAGCACATATACTTTAAGCTTTGCAGGCCATACAGTCTCTGTCACATGTAACTATTCCACTCTGTCTTTATAGTGGGAAAGCAGCCATAGACAATACTAAATGAAAGGACACAGCTGTGCTCCAACAAAATCATTTATGGACACTGAAATTTGAATTTATTATAATTTCCAGGTGCCACAAAATACTATTTTTACCCCCCCCCATTTAAAAATGTAAAAAACATTCTTACCTCATGGGCAGTGCAAAAATAAGATGTGGGTAGAATTTGGCCCAGAGGCTGTATTTACACAGACCCCTGCTCTAGAGAATTTGATCTCTAAGCCCATAGTCCCTGAAACCTCCTTAAAAAAGGAAGCAAAATATATTAGAGAAGGGAATTCTGTCTTGTTCAACACTTAGAAAGTACCTAGCTACATAGTGGAACAGTAGTCATTTATTTATTCATTTATTGAGTGCCTATTTTGTGATAGGCACTATAGTGGGTATTGGAAATAAAACAGTAAAGAGGTAAACATTCCTGTTCTTATGAAGCTTACTTTCTGGTAGGGGGAACAAGCATTAAATAAATAAAATACATATCAAATTATAAATGCTAAGGAAAAAAAGAAAAATAGGGAGTAATGGATGGCAATTTTAAATAGGATTATCACTTTGCTGACAAAGTTACATTTGAGCAAAGACTTCAAGGGGATGAGGAGAGAGAGAGAAAGAGAGAGAGAGAGATATCTGGGCAGCATTCCAGGCAGAGGAAACAGCAGAGAAAGGACCAAAGACAGAAGCATCTCTGAAGTATTCAAGGAAAGTAAGGCCAAGGGGGCTGAAAGGGAGTGAGGGGGAGGGCAGGGGGAAAAGCATCAGAGAGGTGCGTCTGGTTCAGATCTCCCGGGACTTTTGCAGTCCTTGGTAAGGACTTTGTATTTCACTCTGAATAAGAAAAGTCAATGGAAGGTCTTGAGTTTAAGAGGAACACTGGTGGCTTGGATAAAACTAAACTCTGGAGGTGTCAAGAGCAAATCAGTTAGGAGGTTACTCCCAATCTAGGCAAGAGACAGTAGTGGTGGCTTGGACCAAGGAGGTAGCAATAGAAGTGATTAGATTACAGATATGTGTTGATTGAAGATTACTTATTTTAAAAGTATATTGTTCAAGTTTAATTTCCTTAATTTAAGCAAGGTAGAATTTGGTGGGCAATGGATTAGGACAGAGACCTGGGTCTTACTCCTAGCTCTAGATCCCAATTTTTCCATTCACAAAATGGGAAAAGCACCTAGTTATCATGAGGATAATTAGGACCAAAGTCAAAGCTCTTGGAAAGGTTCTCTTGCCCACTGTATAAAGCACAGTCTGCCCTCCCCCTCCCCTTCCTCATGTCAATTCATTTTCAATGTACTCTTTGGAAAATGTCCAAACTCTCAACAAGAAAAAGTGTGTGTGTGGGGGGGAACATGGCAAACTGGAGAGAAATGTTTCAGTGACTGCTAGTTTCTTTTCTTTTTCCAGAGCTTTGTTTACAAGTGGCTGGAACAACACTGAAAAGAAGGTATACAACATCCCTGGCATTTCCCCCGACATGATGAAACTAATTATTGAATATGCGTATACCAGGACTGTCCCTATCACACCCGACAACGTGGAGAAGCTGCTGGCTGCTGCAGACCAATTTAACATCATGGGTATTGTAAGGGGTTGCTGTGAGTTCCTCAAGTCAGAGCTGTGTTTGGATAATTGCATCGGCATCTGCAAGTTCACAGACTACTACTACTGCCCAGAACTAAGGCAGAAGGCCTACATGTTCATACTGCACAACTTCGAGGAGATGGTGAAAGTCTCAGCAGAGTTTTTAGAGCTCTCAGTCACCGAACTGAAGGATATCATTGAGAAAGATGAACTAAACGTCAAACAAGAAGACGCTGTATTTGAGGCCATTTTAAAATGGATTGCTCATGATCCCCAAAATAGGAAGCAGCATATTTCAGTTTTGCTCCCCAAGGTCAAGTTTAATTATTTTTTGTAGGATGCTTAATTGCTCACTTTTGATTCATTTATCCCAGAGGGATTGTCCTAAGATCCATATTTAGATGTTAGACAGATTCCAGGGCTGTAGTTACATATACAGAAGGCATCTCCTACTAGTTTCTGGAATTTTGCAACTTTCTTTGTCTTTGGCATTGCTAGTGCCTTTTATCCCAGTTATATTCTTTTATTTATATTTATTTATTTTTATTAATTTGAGAGAAACATCAAAACATCCATGTGAGTTGGTTGCCTCCCTCATGTGCCACTACGGGGGGATAGAATCCACATCCTGGGTATGTGCCCTGACTGGGAATTGAACCACCACCTTTTGGTGTAGGGGACGTTGTTCCAACGCATCGAGCCACACCAGCCAGGACATTTCCCGCCGCAGTTATAGTCTTTGACCAAAATTCTCCCTGGCTGTGGGGGAAGGAGAGGGCAAGGCCTTTGAAAGAATTTCAGGGTCTCCCTTTTAACTTTGTCCATTCTGTGAGCTTCCCCAGACCTAAGAGAGAAACTGGACTAGTAGCCATTTGGTGCCAATTTGTGCTATTTTACATACAGAGAAAGGTATTCACTTAGGGATCACTACAGCTTTTTTTGGTCTAGTAGTACTGTCCGGCGGCTGAGGAATGGGCTAGCTTGCTATCACTTTCTAGTTCATTCTCAGCATTCAAATGTATACCACCTCTTAAGAACAAATATTTAAACTGTGGGTTGTAAATTTCAAAACATAACCCTACTGCAATTCAAAGGCAGGCTGTAAAACAAGGGGTTAAAGACATGAGGTAAGGGGTCCGGCCCTCCTCACCTCACTTTGAATGACTTGCTGCATTTCCTTCTTAGGTTCGCCTGGCCCTAATGCATGCCGAGTACTTCATGAACAATGTTAAAATGAATGACTATGTGAAAGACAGCGAGGAATGCAAGCCGGTCATCATTAATGCCCTAAAGGCCATGTATGACCTAAACATGAATGGACCCTCTAATTCTGACTTCACCAACCCACTCACCAGACCCCGCCTGCCCTATGCCATCCTATTTGCTATTGGTGGCTGGAGTGGTGGGAGCCCCACCAATGCCATTGAGGCATATGACGCACGGGCAGACAGATGGGTGAATGTCACTTGTGAAGAAGAAAGTCCCCGTGCCTACCACGGGGCAGCCTATTTGAAAGGCTATGTTTATATCATTGGGGGGTTCGATAGCGTAGACTATTTCAATAGTGTTAAGCGTTTTGACCCAGTCAAGAAAACTTGGCACCAGGTAGCGCCGATGCACTCCAGACGTTGCTATGTCAGCGTGACAGTCCTCAGCAATTTTATTTATGCCATGGGAGGGTTTGATGGCTACGTGCGTCTGAACACTGCTGAACGTTACGAGCCAGA